TGGGGAGAAAAGGAGAAAAGAAGCTGGGGGTGCTCCAGGGCACATCATTTTATGATGCTAGCTCTTCTCAGTAATCTCTCAGCACAGAAGTCATTGTCTAAATAAGCATTCCTTCCCAACTGCAGTCTCGTCATTTCACCTAAAAGTTGGCAGATGTGACTTGCCCTCGGGTGTGAACATCTTCAGGAAGATGTTTTAAATGTAGTGTTTAAAAAATCTATAACAATTATGCAGGGTTTTTTTAAAGTTCATAGAACAATTTCGCTGCTTTTTGCTCATTAAATATTTCTGTTTTTCTCATTGTTGATCCAGTAATTTCACTTCCAAGGAAATAATCAGCGATGAGGAAAGAGGTTTATGTACCAAGATGTTCACTGTGGCACTTTTAAAAAAATTAAAGTGAAAAATTGAGCAGAACCTAAATGTCTAATAATAAGGGACTGATTGGGTAAATTATTGTAAATCTACTTAATGGACTATAATGCAGATGTTAAAATAATGTTTTAATGACTTGAGAACATTCTCATAATGTAATATTAGATGAAATATGTAAAATAAGTAAACCGTGGTCTTGTATAAACATCAATTCTTTAAAAATGTACATAATAAGATTATAAGGGAATTCAGAAACGTGAGTAGTGGTTGTCTCAAGACTGTGAGATTGTTAGTGCTTTGTATTCCCTTCTTTATGTTTTTCCAAATTTTTTGGCTTCGACAAAAAACATTACATTTTCATTTTTTTCATTTTTGTTAAAGGAATACATGTATGTGGTTAAAAATCAAAAAAATCTTAAAATGCCTAGAATGAAATAGATCAAGTCTAGCCCCCCAGAAATTGCTGTTCATTCTTTTTCAGCTATTTCTTTGGGTATTTCTCCCATGTGTCTATATCATGTACTTAAGCCTCTATTACTGGAATCATGAGTTTTATGAATTCCTTATCGACTTCTGGTTGTGACGGTTGAGGATTTAGTCCTCTAATCAGCTTCGCCACTTTCTCTTCCCATCCTTCATTGTCTCAATTTACCATGTTTCAGTTTAATTATATTAAAATGTTTGGTTAACTCAACAATAATGTTTACATTATTATGACTGTGTAAATATTGTTTATGGCAGATATGTGTTTAGTTCCCTGTGTATGTATTCCTTTTCTTCTGAATTCCCCAACTGCTCTGTTAATACCAGTTGACAGTTTTCCAAATGTATGGACACAGTCCCAGGTGCTCTGTAGCTTCTGTCCTTTTCCCCTTCTCTGACGACATGTCCCTGACCACCCTTATTGGATGGCTGAGTCTTTAAGTCCTTAGCTCAGTATTGTTCTGGGACTTACTGTCCCTGGTCTGCCATGTTGGATTCTTCAGATCCTGTTTCTTCCTGTTCCTTTATTTCCTCTCTCCTTTAGGTGGAGTACATCCATTCAGCAGCATCCCAAAAAAGAGTGCATGAGAGACAAATATTTTGGGCCCTTCCTTGTCTAAAAATATCTTGCTTGTAGACTCCCATTTGACTGATGGTTGAGCCTGAAATAGAATTTCCCCCCAGACAGTTCAAGAACTTTCCATCTCCTGGCACTCACTGTTGCTGATCAGAAGTGATGAGTTTATGGGTCCTGAGCCATCAGGATGCAGGCTGAATGGGACAGAGATGAACAGAAAGAGCCTGGACCAAGAGTCTAGCTGGGAGGAAGAATATGAATGGATACAGAAGAAACATAAATAGTCAGGGCATCACAGAGGTCGAATTCCGATGGATTGTTCAGGATGAAAGAGTCGAGCAGGGACTGCTGTGATGCAGGCGAGAGAAGTAGCTCAGAGAAGTCAGCTCAGGCCTGCCCCACGGTTCCCTGGGTTCAGAGCTCAGGCTGTCAGAGATGCAGAAA